AAGAAAAACCTGGGAAGAACGACTCAAAACTATGCCTTACGGAAAGACACAACCGGAGAAACTACGCAGGAAAAGTATTAGTCGCATGCGCGCAGAATCGCCCGCCGAATCACAGCACATATCGGAAGACGATCGACTAATTCGGGCGTTTCCCAATTTCTGCAACACCCGAAATAAAGAGCATGGACTTGCCAAGGAGCGAAATGAAGCGCGTGACGGGGTCTCAATTTGTGACTCACAAGGCTTCTGTCAACCGGTCCTTCTCTCGCTGCGAGGGCCCAGGGGTATTTCCTCAACGCATTCAGTGGCCGAGCATTCGAAGGGATAAAAATGAACAGGGAGGAAAGAAAGAAGGAAAGAAAAGAAGGGAGGAGGAAAGCTAGGCGCTTGACAGATATCGAGAGGCACTAAGAAACATATATACAATAAGGACACATTGTGTGTACGATGCAAAAAGAGGACTGAGACATACATACAAAACATATGCAATGTAAAGGATAAATGGTGTGAACGAAGTAAAAAATAAGAAAATGGATTTACAGCCAACAAAACATACTTGCGAACCACTAAAAAATAAGGAATGGGTATACTGAGGCCAATAAAGGACGCAAAAAGTGTAAATGAGTCCAGTCACTCAGGACTGGATCTGCTTGCTTACCCCTACATCGCAAATGAACCTCGTAGCGGTTCCAAATCAGATAACTGATAAATGAGAAATTCTGGTAATAAAGAACTTACGTTAGAATGAGGTGGCTCCATTTGAGCCATTTCTATAAGCGTTATACCAAAAGACCAAATGTCTGATATTGTGCCATATGGCTCATCTTTGAAAAGTTTCACACATCATAACTTCAGGAGCCATCCTGAAAGGTGATGAGTCATATGGAATCCTTGCACACCGTCTTTAATATTTCTTTTCGAGAAATTCGACTTACCAATATGGCGTCCCAATAAACGTATCCCTTCTATCATTTCGATCTTTCAGTTTGGCAGATACTCCGAAATCAGCTGAACAGCAAGCATATTCAAAAACAAATCACTGCGATGAAAATCTCAACAAACCCAATTTAACAATCCCATCACTGGTAAGAAGTATATTTCCAGCCTTCAAATCACGATGAATAACGTTGTTGTCATGCAGATAAGCGAGTGCTTCACAAGTATACCTTAAACATGTATCCGTACCTCTACACAAACGTTTCTGTATATAGAACTATCAACCTCGCAATATAAGCGATCTGCTTCTCAGTCAATGGTTTCTCTAATTCAATCATGATCGCGTCGACAGCTCCACCACCGCAGAACTCCAGCATCATCTGAACAAGCACATGTTCCGATTTCGATAAAGCATTCTCAATAAACACTAACACTGACTAATAGGACATTCGAAAGCAAAGAAAAACGGCGGAACATCATGTTGAATGGAAAGCTCCGCAATATTTTGTGTTTTTCTCTCAGACGGGCCGTTCAAGAGAAAAGCACAAAAAGGTATTGTTAATTTTACGACCTGACTCTAGAAAACTTGAGAATATTTTCGAAGGTCTGGTAGACGGATCTACAAGGACTTGGTCCATGTTTTTGGCGCTTAAAAGTCTTTATAAGTCATGCTACTTTTCGCCGTATTCTACACCAGTCACCTCGTCGGCTGGCGCCGGTGGGTTCCCTTCTGTTATACAGCCCAGCTTCGCCGGCAGAGCTGGGCCGTATCTTACAAGGGAGGTGTTTCAGGTCATGACGCGCTTTTTGGAAATGGTTTGTTGCTTGTAGGGGTCCATACAAGGGTCACAAAAATGGGTTTCATTTTTGCTATGCGTTTCTGGGTAGGTCAAAAACTGAGTGAAAAGAATTTGACAAGAATGGGCGGTTTTAACAACCTTAATGGGCTCCGTTCTGCTTGTAACTTCGAGCATGCATAGTTTATGAGGTGGTCACTAATTAGGCCTCAAAATAGATTCGATTAAAGTCAAAATGTAAGTACCATGTGGTAACACATCTCAGGCTGTTCGCGTGTGATTTATCGGTTCGACTATTGGGCAGACTAAAGCACGTGTCCATTTCTTCCTTCGCTGAACAAAAGTTGAAGCGTTATGTTATGTTGTGCTCAGTACGAAGCAAAAGGCAAATACAAGAATGAAACATAATCATCTTAGCAACCCAAGCCAACGGATAAGAAATTAACAGCAGACATTCATAAAAATAATGAATAAAAGCAATCATTCTGTTCATCAGAGGAAAAAAAAGTAGTACCAACGCTAACTTAGTCACGCACTAGAACGAAGGAATGAAAGATCGAAACAGTCGAAGAGATTGTAGGAAGTTAAACTCAAGTAACTAGGATGTTTCATGAGTTGCTAGCCGCACAGTCAACAGCTTTTTTAAACGCCTGAGAAAATGGGAATGACTATGATCCTCTTGCACATACTCACGGATTCGAACGTAAGGCAGCGTTCATACTTGTAGCGCTACAGCGTCGCGCTACAGCGTCGCGCTACAGCGTCGCGCTACAGCGTCGCGCTACAGCGTCGCGCTACAGCGCCGCTTCGCAACGTACTGCTATTTCCAACGTTAGGATGATTAGAGTTGCTTACAGAGAAAAGTGTTTTGTGATGTTTTTTCTTTCTGTATCAACCTCTTCTCTTTGTTTCTCATATTTATCTGATAGTGAGCTCCTGTTTTCTACTTTATCACATTTTAATGTAGTTTTTGATACAGAAGACTGTGATAATTGGTTTTATTTATCGTTTTTGACTTTAATTATTTGGTTTCACAGTTGCTTGATGTTTGATGGCTTTGCTTGATGTCTTGCAGTGCTGCCTCGTTTTGATCCCGATTGCGAAACTACATTAAAATGTGATAAAGTAGAAAATAGCAGCTCACTATCAGATAAATATGAGAAACAAAGAGAAGAGATTGACACAGAAAGAAAAAACATCACAAAACACTTCTCTTTGTTTCTCATATTTATCTGATAGTGAGCTCCTGTTTTCTACTCTACCACATTTTAATGTAGTTTTTTGATACAGAAAACTGTGATAATTAGTTTTGTGTGATAAAGTAGAAAACAGGAGCTCACTATCAGATAA